AAGTGAGAATAGCAGCACAATTGGAAGAGCGTAGTCGATGTCACTGAACTGTGCATGTAGAAATTTTTGAAATACTGTATCTTTGGCTATGTATATTTTCACCAAAAAAAAAAGAAGGTTGAGAAGGGAGAGGGTTGACATGTTGTGGGGTTGTTAACCAATGTCATAAAACAATATGTGTACTACTGTTTCGTGGGAAACTATTTGTTCTGTAAGCCTTCACCTGAAGTACAATTTAAAAAAAGAAAGAAAAAAAAAAAGCAAAGATGTCACTTTGAGGACTAAGGTGTGCCTAACCCAAGCCATGATTATTTTCGATCTCCTCATATGCGTGTGAAAGCTAGGCAGTGAGTAAGGAAGACCGAAGAAGAATTGACGCCTTTGAATTATGATGTTAGTGAAGAATGTTGAATATACCATGGACTGCCAGAAGGATGAACCGATCTGTCTTGGAAGTACAGCCAGAATGCTCCTTAGAAGGGAGGATGGCAAGATTTCGTCTCATATACTTTGGACATGTTATCAGGAGGGCCAGTCCCTGGAGAATTACATCACGCTTGGTAAAGTAGAGGGTCAGCAAAAAAGAGGAAGCCCCTGAATGAGATGGATTGACACAGTGGCTGCAACAATGGGCTCAAGCATAACGATTGTGAGGATGGTGCAGGACCGGGAATTGCTTCATTCTTTTGTACTTGGAGTTGCTATGAATTGGAACCAATTCGACAGCACCTAACCTTACAGCAGTCCTGACACCATGATTTAGCTCTGTAACCCCAAGTAAGTGACTGAACTTTCTGACCCCCATTTTTTCTTCTGTGAAATGGGGTAATAATAGTACCTGTCACACTTGTTTTTGTGTGGCTGCTGTAAGATAATAGTTGTAAAACATTTAGCACAGTTTCTGACACATGGTGGGTACTCAGTACATACTACTTGTGATCATCTTCATTATCATCCCAAAGTATGCAGTGGCACATATCTTCGTACATAGACTTTTGCCTTCAAATAATTCCTTAAGGTTAGATTCCCAGAAATAGAGTTTCTGGACCAAAGAGGAGAATAGACTTTTAAATATCTGCCTGATAGTTTTGATTTTTTCTTTCCTTTCAAATAAATATGACCCCTTAAAAGAGAATAGTTAGCAGATCGGCTCAGAGGCCATGTAAACAGAGGAACCATGGGTCAGCTTCACTGCCACAGTCTTGACTCATGCCTGCTTGTATTTGGGATCTCCACATGGATCCTTTACCTCAGGCTTGATGAATACTACCCTTGAATTTGTATATCTGAATATCTTACCAGTGCAGCCTTCTCATTACCCCCCTGTTGAGCAGTCGCTAGCTTCTACCACCGGGCACTTACTTTGAAAGTGTTAGTGGTCTGTGGCCCTGAAGCACTGAGTGATTAAGTGCAGACCAAAGGAGATCAGGCAAGATGGAAACACATGTGTACGAGGCCCCAAGCTGGGAGGTGAACTTCACTCTCCAGAGGGGACAGAGTCTCGCATTGATATCTCTTCTTCCCTCGTTTGTAACACCCCATAGTCTTCTGTAAGAGAAGCCCTTAAGGGGATTTCGTTGCATCAAACGTTACTGTTTTGCTAATATCCTTACAGTCCAACCAAGCACTGATGATTATGGGACTGAGCTATTGAGACGGTATCACGAAAACCTCTCTGAGATTTTCACAGACAACCAGATGTTGCTAAAAGTGATCTCACATGCGAAGAGTTTAGCCCCGGGAGAAAGAGAGGTAAGAGAGAAAGGGAGGGAAGGCAAAATGAGAGAGAAGGGGAAAATGTAAATATATATAATGCATTCCTGTATATATATTTTATATAAATATACATACACAACCATGTTGAGAAATGCTGTTAGCGTTTCTAGGGCCAGTAGAGGAGAAATGGAAGGTGACTCGATTTTTAAGGCAGAGTAACAGGTAAGATAGTTGTTTCTGTAGTAACAAAGAAAGGAGCTCAAAAAGAGGACTGAGGAACATTGTCTTTGTCATGTATAAGAAACCTCTCAAGTTGAGAGAGGTCTTGAGAGAAGGTGAAGGATGTTGAAAAATTCCTTCCCAGAAATATGTTCACTATAACCCAATTACCCAGACTTGTAGTTCTGCAGCGGGGCGAGTGGCTAGAAAGTCCCTTACGTGTATGTTTGTGCTGCATCTTGAAGGTCATGGAGAAGCTTGTGAAACATGACTCTGGCTCAGGAGGTTTCAGTTCTCTGATCTCAGCAGTTCTGGAAAAGCAGACTCTCTCTGCAACAGCTGTTTGGCAACTGCTGCTGGTGGCTCAGGAGACAAAGACCTGCCCACTGAACTTGCTCATGGAGGAAATCCAGAGGGAGCCTGGTGCTGATGCTTTCTTCCAGGCAGGTGAGTTACCTGACCTCTGCCATGGTTTAGCCCCCACTAGAAATTGTCAGTCTTCCAAGAAAGTAGAGCTGTCTTATGGTGGTCATCCACATCTTGCCATCAGAGGAGCAAAGTAAGGACTGGCAATTTCATTCAAAGACACAGGAGTTGGTAAACCTTTAAAAAAAAAAACAAAACAAAAAAACCCACATGTACAGTACTTATTCTAAGCTTAAATTATTATACTCTGATTATAGTGCAGTTTGACATTTTCTGCACTCCCAACTCCAGGTAGGAGATAAGTGTGTTCTCATTATGAAGAGTTGAGTTGAGAAAAAGAAGGGAAAAAAATGGTACTCATGGTTTTACTAATGAGTCTTCTGTCCCCCCTTTTTTTCAGTGACCACACCAGAAAGTGCTGCCTTAGAAACAATCCTGAGGCATAGGAGATTAGTCATAGAGGCCATCCAACAAAAGATTGACCTGAAGTACTTTACCTCAGAGGAAGAGCACCTGGCAGAGACTGTGAAAGAGGTGTGGTGGGCATAAAATCAAGTTGTGTTTTAACGAGTTTCATGTGATGCCTGGGACTGTCTTCATTCCTAAGGGAGGAACCAGCATCCGGAGACTACCTGCCACGTGCCTAGTCCTGTGCTAAGCCAAGCACTCTATAACACTTTTATTCTTTTAATCTTCATAACTCTAAGTGGTAGGTGATACCATCTGTGTCTTACAGATAAGGAAACTCAGACTCCAGGGGATTAAGTAACATGTCTAGGATTCTCCACTGGTAAGAGATGGATTTGAACCCAGGTTCATGTGACTCAACCCTAGAGTTATTCTGTTTGTCTAAAGCTGGGTAAATCCCCAGGGGAACCATGATACTGCTTTCTAACATGTTCTAAGAAGCAACTTCTTTCAGATGAAGGAAAGTAAAATTGGTGTTGTTACATGCTGTCTTCTGGCTCCTAGAAAGAGCCAAGATAAACATAGATAGAACAAAGTGTTTGCCCATATGGGGTAGCAAGTACTGCCAACTCATTTTCTGTGAGGTTTCTCACAATGTGGCCAGCATCCCAGAAAAACCAGGTGGGGATGGAGGGGGCGGCAGTAGGGGAGGGGATTCACGGATGTCCAGCCCAGGATCATGTGCATCTTGAGTTGGAGAGAATTACAAAGGCACATAAAATTAAGCCACATATTAACCGGTAGTGCCTTTTGATCCAGGTAGGCATGGAAGATGTGCAGGAGGGCTGGTTGCTAACTCTGTCCACAGAGATGCTGGCCCACCTTGGTATGGCTCTCAGATGGGAAGAAGATGGCGCACGTTTCTGTGGGGCTTCAGAGGAGAGATTCGTCTGCTAGACTCTCTCCAGCACACCACATACTTCAGAGATGGGGTTTCTGCAGTTGATCACTTCTCGCCTGGCTAATTAGTCTCATGCCTGCCTCCTGGGACATCAGGTTTATTTAGATAGACTTGAAAAGAGCAGAAATAAAATGTCTTCCAAAATGAAAATTACATTTGGCCATCTGTGAATGGTTTAGCTTTATTTTCTCAGTGTACTGACTCTTTCTGCTGATAGCTCTAACATTCTGAAAGAGGACAGCTTTGAAATAATATTCTTGGCCTCTTTAAAGACCCTATTTGAGCCTTCTTTAAAAAGCTGAGTTTCTTTACAAAAGAAAATGATGTTTAAAAGGGTACATCTAAGTATCTAAAAATATGAAGCCACTGATCATGCAGAATTACTTCCAGACATTGAGACAATTATATATTATGAAATATTATCTGGATCTTCAAGACAGAAACACCAACAACCAAATCTTAAAGCTTTCCAAGTTTGTACCATTAAGATCTAGAAAAGTTCTTTGTGAGACTCCTGGTTTCTGAGAAGATATTTCCATAGAACATGATCATTGCTTCCTTGCTTGCCCCGTGTTTGTATTTGATGTTCGCCTTGATGTATGTTCCTTTTTATTTTGTTAATTTCTCCTTTCTTTGGAAAACAGGTCTCTGCTACATTTATCATGAGGAGAAGTGTAAATTACTTACAGATGAGCAATGCCTTCCTGAAATTGATTTTGTTTTTTTGTTTTTTTGTTTTTTCCGGTTGAAAACCATGGAGAAACTCTGCTGATATTAACCCCAAACCTTTGTCTCCTGGTATTCATTTAGATTCTGAGTGTTTCCTCAGAGACAGCCAGCCCTGAAGCTTCCCTGAGAGCAGTGCTGAGCAGAGCCATGGAAAAATCGGTCTCAGCTGTTGAAATCTGTCACCTCCTGTGCAGCATCTACAAATTGTTTCCAGGCCTGCAGCCTGTAATGCAGGAGTTAGCATACGTTGGTAAGAAACAAGTTGGGTGGGGTCCCTGTCAGGCACGCAGGTTGTTTCCTTATTGGAGAAAGAAAGCAGCAGTTCATATAAGAGTTCATTGCTACTTTAAATTGTTTGCTCATTTTATATGCTCTCAATACCTAGAGAAGTCGTGAGCATAGATGTAAAATGGCGCTGTTTGTGTTTATGAGAAGGTAAAGATGCTAATGATATTGCATTGGAGTATTTTTAGGATCCCAAGTAGTCTCCAGTCTCCCATAAGAAGTTGTGTGCCTTAGAAAAGTTCTAAAGTCAAGTAGAAATGCAGAGAATTTCCAGAGCCATGAGCTTTCTCTCCTGTGCAGGTTTCCTTACTAAGGAAGGTGGGCAGAAGGAAATGTGGAAGGTGAGTAATAAATTTCACCTTGAAGCCAACGATAAAGCAGATGAAAAGGCAGCTGAGCCAGCTGAAGAAGATTGCCAGGCTGGAAAACTGAACGATGAGGGAGAGACAAGTTCTCTGCCGGAACAAGAGAAGGATGCTTCTGCCTCCCCAGACTCTGCCAAGAAGAACTTCGTCTGTAAGGCCTGTGACAAAAGCTTCCATTTCTACTGCCGCCTAAAGGTGCACATGAAGCGCTGCCGTGTGGCCAAGAGCAAGCAGGTGCAGTGTAAGGACTGCAGCGAGACCAAGGAATCTAGGAAAGAGCTGGAGAAACATCAGCTGGAGGCCCACGGTGCAGGTGGAGAGCCTGATGTCCCCAAGAAAAAGAAGAAGAGGCTTCCAGTGACGTGTGATCTCTGTGGCAGAGAATTTGCTCATGCCTCAGGTACGTTCAAGAAGGCAAAGTAACAGTGGATGATGATTCTGGATGTTGTAGTTTGGATTCCAGGCCTTGCCTGTGCTTGTGTGTAATAATTAGGGATGTGGGTGGGCTTAGAAGATAGAATAGGTTCCTACCGAGGCAGGGAAATACTTGGGGGAAGAATATGGGGTTTGGAATCAGCTCTCTGGGATTTAATTTCCTCATCTATTAAATAGGCACCATGGTACCACCTACTTTATTGGATTGTTATAAGATTTAAAATAATATAGTTGAACCCCTAGTACAATGCCTGGCATAGAGTTAGGACTCAGTAATTGTAGCTGCTGTTATTTGTAATAATAATAACCAACAGTTTAATGCCTGACTCTTGGGTTTTTATGTACCATTTGTTTCTTGATAATAAGTAAGAGTCACTGGAAACCCTGGTAGCGTAGTGGTTAAAGTGCTATGGCTGCTAACCAAAAGGTCGGCAGTTTGAATCCACCAGGTGCTCCTTGGAAACCCTGGGGGGGCAGTTCTGCTCTGTCCTGTAGGGTCCCTGTGAGGCGGAATCGACTTGATGGCAACGAGTTTGGTTTTTTTGGTTTTTTGGAAACCCTGAGATATAAAGTCAGGTATTATTTTCCCCTAGTCCCAGATGTTGGATAAGCCTAATGAAACATAAAAGTAAGTTTTGTTTCCCTATTTCTGGGTGGCTGGGTCTTATTTAAGAGAGAGAGGGGACAGGGAAGTTAAACCCAGAATCACTTCATGCCTAGTCCAACCAGAAGCGGGACTGAGGTGACTTTGGGATGCTCATTGCTGGGCAGTTGGGCAGCATGGCTACATGGGGTCAGAGCTGGCCTGACCTGGGTCCTTTGCTGGATGCTGTCTTCCTCTGGAACCCTCACCTGAAACAGTGCAATTATGTAGCTTCTGCTGGTTCATAACATTAATTACTAGTATCTCTTCTGGTCCCTGGCATGGCTTCTGTAGGCATGCAGTACCACAAACTGACAGAACACTTTGATGAGAAGCCTTTCTCCTGTGAAGAGTGTGGGGCAAAGTTTGCAGCCAATTCTACCTTGAAGAACCACCTTCGCCTTCACACTGGGGACCGCCCCTTCATGTGCAAGCACTGCCTCATGACCTTCACCCAGGCCTCCGCCCTGGCCTACCACACCAAGAAGAAGCACTCAGAAGGTAAGGCTTGGAGAACTTCTTTTGTTCTACTGCAAACTTCAACTGTGTAAGTTGCCTAAAAACCCATTTGGAATTGGGTGTGATATGTATATCTCAAGGAGCCCTGGTGGTGCAACATTTAAGCGCTCAGATGTGAACCGAAAGGTTGGCCCTTTGAATCCACTCACTGGCTCCATGGAAGAAAGACCAACAGAAGATCTGATTTACATAATTCTGGCCACTCTGTGGACAATAAACTGTAATAGGGCAGAGTATCATATAAATGGGAAGAGCAGTTAGGAGATTATTGCAGTAGTCCAGTCTGGAGACGATGGAGTTTTTGACTAGAGTTGTATTAGTGGTTGTCTTAGGCTGGGTTCTCTAGAGAAGCAAAACCATTAAAGCATATAAATATATATATATAAAGAGATTTATTTCAAGGAAAGGGCTCACACGATTGTAGAGACTGGAACGTCCTAAGTCTGTGGATCAGGATAGAGGCTTCTCTCGATTCACATAGCCGCAGGGGCTGGCGAACCCAAGATCAGCAGGTCGGAGAGCAGGGCTCTTGCTCACAGGCTGTAAATAGCGATGAATCCCAAGATTGGCAGGTCGGAGAGCAGGGCTCCTGCTCACAGGCTGTGAAGGTTGACAAATCCAAGATTGGCAGATAAGCTGATAGTTGAAGTCCCAAGAACTGGAGGTCAGAAGAACAGGAGGCAGCCGCAGGATCCAGAGCGAGCAAAAAGCCAGAACATCTGCTTATATTTGGATGCAGGCCACACCCCCAAGGAAACTCCCTTTCAACTGATTGGCTACTCACAGCAAATTCCATCATGGGAGTGATCACATATATACACTAAGAATCATAGCCCAGTCAAGTTGACACACAATCTTAACCATTATAGTGGGGGTTGTAAAAAACAGTCAAGTTTGGGGATTTTTAAGAAGTCACCTTTAATCTCCAGACACCAATAGCCAGGCAATATGTGCCGATATTGGGGATATATTTTTGAAAGTAGAGCCAGTAGGACTAATGATGGATTGGATGTGGGATGTGAGGGAAAGAGAGGAATTAAGGATGGCTTTGGAGTTTTTGGCCTGAACAACTGAGTGGATGATGCTGCCATTTACTGATGGGGGAATTGGAGAGAGAGAGAGAGACTGTGTGTGTGTGTGTGTGTGTGTGTGTGTGTGTGTGTGTGAGTGTGTGTGTGTGATAGAGGGCATGGGGGAGGGGGAGAATCAGGGGCTCTCTTTTGGATATGATAAATTTGTGATACCTTGTAGACCTCCAAGTGGAGAGATAGAGTAATAGAAACATTGCTATGTAAGTCTAGAGAGTTCTGTGGAAAGGTAGGGGCTAGACAAAAATGTAGGAGCTATCAGTGTACAGATGGTATATGAGGCTCTGAGATGAGATCATCTAGAAAGAAGAAGGCCGAGGACTGAGCCCTAGACTTCTCAACAGTTTCAACTCTTAATTCAGGAATCCCTTTTTTCCTAACAAAATCTTGTTATGTGAAACATGAACATGATTGCTCTGGTTGAAGCAGGCCTAGGAGTCAGGGTCTGGAGCCTCACCTCCTCATGGATTTCCCCACTTCTATTGATGCCATAATGAGGCTTGGAGGTACAACTGCTCGAGCAGTTTTTACAAAATGTTCTGTAGACTTGTTGTTTACCTGTGTTTCTTTGGCAGTCTGGTCATTATATTCTCATTATGTGCATGAGGAAATAAAGAAACCAGGTGATATGTAATAACTTTATAGCAAGTCACTGGAAGAATGCTTTTATTCTCTGAAGCCATGTCTCTCACCTTTGTGTGTGGTTACCATATCTGTACTGTGTACGTTGCAAGGGGATCTAAATGCACATATTTCTAGGTACAAAGATATATCTGTTGCCTGGGAGTAGAATGAGCTCGTCCCATACTTGTTGCCTGATTAACAGATGGGTTATCTTGTGTAACGAGACCTCCATCCTTATTCCTGAGGGTAGGAAGACCACACTCACACCCTTTCTGTGTGATCAGTTGTAACTGTGAGGTGCCATCTGACCAGATGCCTTACAAATTGCCTACTGTTTTAATGTCATCTCCCAGATTATATTTATCTGATACTTGCCCTAGAATGTGACTTTGTTTTTAGGAGTACTGTAAATGTTTAGCGCTGGCTCTAATAAACTCATGTGTATTTCTAGGGAAAATGTACGCTTGCCAGTACTGCGATGCTGTGTTTGCCCAGTCCATCGAGCTGTCCCGCCATGTGAGGACCCACACCGGGGATAAGCCGTATGTCTGCAGGGACTGTGGCAAGGGCTTCCGACAAGCCAATGGCCTCTCCATCCACCTGCACACCTTTCACAGTATGTACTGAGATTGTGCTTGTCAGGTACTCAGCACCAGGCCTGGCTGTGAGAAAGCGTGTAGCGGTCATTACACAGGTTGTCACTCCCCCAGAGCTGGTCTCCATTCAGTGCCTTCCCCTCCTCTCTTCTCCTTTGAAACCCAGAATCCTTCAGTCCTATTTCAAGGAGAATACCATTTTAACGTAGCATTGTATGATACTTGTTTCTCTCTGTCCAGGCTGTTTTCCTTGCCTTCCTCCTTAGCCACCTGGCACTGTTCGGCTGACAGAGGCAAATTATGTTTGAAGGAGAGAGAGTCTCTGTGACAGATAAACTCACAGAGCACTGGGACATTTCCTTTAGTCCACTGAGCTTCTGCTCACCCTCCTCCCCCACCCCCATCTTATAATCATATGTGCCTTTCCCCATAGAAGCACCTCAGACACTTTCTAAGTTAATATATACCATCTGAAGTGGTACCTGGTCACTTGCCCTGTCTTCTCCCCTAATATTTTCTTCCAAATGCCATTTTATTTCACTCAGTTAGTAGGGTCTGCCCCCATCTTTCTTCCCTTCTCCTAGAATTGATAGGGACAAAAACACACTTTTATTCAACACATGCACGCACACACACACACGCGCGCGCACACGCACACATGCACGCACACAGGAAAGAAAAGGAAATTCTGTGATTCTTCATTACATCATCAGAAAACCGCCACTGTGGCATTCGGCTTGCCATGTCACATTTTCTTCAGCCTCTCGTATGTTGCGGCAGGAGTGTAATCAACACAGCACAGCAGGGTGGTTAAGAGCTTGGTCTCTGAGATCACACAGGCCTGGATTTGAATCTTGGCCCTGCCATGTACTTTCCATAAGAACTTAAACAAATGTCGTTAACTTTGTAAGCCTCTTAGGCCCCTCGTAAACTGGAGAAGATAATAATACCTACCACCTTGGATTGTGGTGAGATATCACATATAAATAAAGCCTGAAGCTCCCTGCCTGACACATAGAAAATGCTCAGGAAATGCCAGCTATTATTAGTATTGGTGACAAGAGCAGCCCTCTCAGGTGCCATTTGTCACCATCAAGCTTGTCTCTTTGCATGCCATGTGCCTGCACCCCCTTCCCTTTGTAGCTGTTGGCAAATACCATGTGTCACAAACATGTGCCTTATGTAAACACATTCAAGTCTGTTGTCAGTCAGCCAGCAGGGACTTCACTAGAGTTCCTGTGTGCCCAGCATGTAGCTGGACATTGGAGGAGGCAGAAGGAATATAAAGTGTGGTCTCTGCCTCCCAAGGAGTTTACAAGGCTGTACTAAAAATCCGTTGCAATAGACTTCCAGTTTAGTGAATTTTGGATTGGATCCAGTGCTGCAATTTTGATGTCCTGTCGACCTCTCTCAGATGGCATCTGCTTTAGTCTTCTCTTCCAAGTAGCATTACTTGGGAGTTAGAAGAGGGGAAGACATCGTTAATTTTCGGAATGAAGAAGGACCCAAAATACTTTGCCATGCCCCTCGAGTGTGTCATCTGCGGCAGGCCCAGCATCCAGGCCCCTCCCTCTCCTTTAGCATTCCTCCTCGCCTATTTCATAGGAATACGTAATTGCTTATGGAAAATGGCTTCAAAGTATCATAAAAGACAACACTGAAATGAGATTTCAAGAGCTGATGTCCACAGGGAAATGAGTTAATAATGTCGAATGCTGCTGCATGGCAAAATTCCTGAGATACTCTGAATCAATGCATAAATAAGATTGGCTTGTGGGCTGGGCCTTTCTCGTGGGCAAAGGATTTTATTATTAAAACATTTGGTCTTCTGTTGCTTTAAGTAAAAGAATGACTTCCTACCACAAGGATGGCAAATATATTCGTCATTAGTGCCACTTCTTATTTTTGAAATCCCACCGAAGAGTTGGCATTGTCCTGTTAGACATGCAGCTCAGAGACTGGCCTTTGGAGGTAGAGCTGGGATGGCTGGCCAGTTCAGCCATTTTCTAGTTGTGACTTTGGGCAAGGCACTAACTTAAACTGTCTAAATCTTGATTTTCCTAATCTCTAAAATAGAGGAGATAATAGAACTAATCATAGGGTTATTGGAAGGATTAAATGAGTTAATATACATAAAGCACTTAGAGCAATGTCCGTCATATAGCCCTCAGGCATTATCTATGAAAGTGTTTTTGTTGTTGATCTGAAGTGGGGAGTTGTACTGCTGACAACAAAGGAAATAGTGATGCTCTGGGAACTGGTGGAAATCTCTATAGCGAATTATAAAACCCAAAACTGCCCACTGCTAGCAGGGGCAGAGCAACGGTGAAATTCTCTGGAGAGTAGTAAAATAGAATTTCACTTGTAAGATGTAAAATGAGGAGTTGACGTGAACTATTTGATGCTGCAGAGGTTGTTGGTCCAGAAGCCTTGGAGGCTTTCGCTCTTCCAGGAAGAAGGCAGGGGTGGCCAGGTTAGCCCTGTGCTGACTGCTGGTCCTTGGAGCGTGAGGCCCTGCACAGCATCTGAACAGTGCCTTCTGTCTGTAGCTGTACGCAGTGACCAGCATCTATCTCACTGATTGCAGTCTGCGGTGTTTTTTCTTCTCCCCCTTTCTCTCATGGATGTCCCTCATGGAACCAGACATAGAAGATCCCTATGATTGCAAGAAATGCAGGATGAGTTTCCCCACTCTGCAGGACCACCGGAAGCACATCCACGAGGTGCACTCCAAGGAGTACCACCCCTGCCCCACATGTGGAAAGATCTTTAGCGCCCCTTCCATGCTGGAGCGGCACATGGTGACCCATGTTGGCGGGAAGCCCTTTAGCTGTGGGATCTGCAACAAGGCCTACCAGGTGACCTCAGGTTCTGGTGGGAGGTCTCCCTGCAGTCCCCAGTCTACTCTCCATTTGCTCATCTTTGTTCCCATGTTTGTGACTTGTGGATCAGATCTTATCCCCAGGATGTGCAAGTTTGGCTTGCTATCATGAAGAATGCAGTTTGAAATTATTCCAGTTCTCTAAGGAAATCTGGTCAAAGGGATGCAGTGGGGGAGCTTTAATTGGAGCAGAGAGTTCTTATACCCCCTACTCCCCAGATGTCAGCCTTGTCATGAACTGAATGCTACTTCTCCCCTTGGAGCCTCACATTCTGTAGGACCTATTGACCCCATGTGTCAAGGCATGTGAGAATGACGAAGGGGATTGTAACACAACATGGAATTATCTTGTTTAGCACAATTATTGCTTTTTTTTTTTTTAATTCCCAGGGAATGGCTGTGCTTTTTTACTGTAGAATTTGGCATGTAAGTAAAGGGAAATTCCATATAGAACTAAAAAGAAACTGCATCTGTCAGACACTAAAACCACCAAGAAAAGAATGGTCTTTGTTGGTGTCTATAAGATGTAGGTATATAGAAAGAAGCACAGAGACTAATTTCAGTTCAACAAAAATTGAGAGCTAACTCTGTGCGAGGCCTTGTGCTGTGAACAGCAGGGTCAAAGAGTGGAGTAAGACCTGGGCCTGGCCTCTCGGAAACTGTGGAACCGTAAGGAGAATATTCTGATGCTTCTCTGAACCTGAGAGGGAGGGGGACACTTGCTTACAGCACACAGCCCCTTCTCCAGCAGTTTGCTCTGCTCTACCCCTGGGCTTCTAAGAAGCAGTGAGATACAGCTCAGTGGCAAAGAACAGATTCTTAAGTCAGAAGGCCAGGGTTTGAATCCTGACCCTACCATTTACTAATTGTGTGGCCTTGGGCAAGTCATTTAACCCCTCTGTGCCTCAGCTTCTGCCTCATTGGAAAGATCATAGCACCTCTGTCATACAGTTGCTGTGAGGAGTGAACTTATGACAGACTCAGCTGAGCCCTGCCCTATAGCAGCCTCTTAATACATGGTTGTCTTGTTCCCATAAACACCAGCCTCTCCTCTAACACCAGCACTCAGTTTGATAGGTAAGAGAGTGTGATTCTAGACCCATCAGCTTATCTGAGAGCGTTTTTCTCTTTCTCATGGGGGACTCCTGAGCTCTACAGCTTGCTGGAACATTCTAAGGCTCTAACACTTGCCAAATTCCTTGCAGCAATTGTCTGGTTTGTGGTACCACAATCGGACCCACCACCCTGACGTATTTGCTGCACAGAACCATCGATCTTCCAAGTTCTCCTCACTCCAGTGCAGCTCCTGTGACAAAACCTTTCCCAACACCATGGAACACAAGAAGCACATCAAAGCAGAGCATGCAGGTGGGGTTTGGGAACCATAGATGGGGAGTGTGCACTGACACGTGGGAATGGCTTAATTATATGGCTTCCCCGGGTTCTGTCCAAAAATCCCAACCTGCAGTGTGACTATGTGGTGTGCTTTGGTAATTACCTTTTTTCTGCCCAGCACACCTGAGGGATACAGCCCCAGTCCAGCAATAACAGTAGCTGGAGGGAAGTGGTTCTCAAACCTGGAAACCTCAAGCAGTGTAAGCTCCTGCCAGCCACCGAGTAAGGCTCAGTCACTGTGCAGTGGGAAGGGTGTCAGCTTTGGTGGCAGACAGGCCTGGGTGGAAACCCTGAATCCAGCACCCTACCAGTTGCATGACCCTGGCAGGTGACTTATCTTTACTGAGTGGAATGGGAGTTACTAATAACATACTTTGCAGATGAATTTGGGGGTAATCATAACAGCTAGCGGTTACAAAGCATTTCCTAATTGCAAGGCACCATGCTCCTCACAACAGCCCTATTTGAATCCAGGCAGTCTGGACCTAGATCTGGTGCTCTTTACCACTGGATTACGCTAATAGATCATGGGCATGAGGGTCTTGGCACATGGTGGGTGCTTGCCAAGTGTTAGCCACCATCCGTGCCTCCCAGCCCGGATACTCTCCAGCTTTCCCACAGCTCTCTCCTTGTGTGCTTCACAGATGTAAAGTTCCATGAATGTGACAAATGTAAGGAGCTCTTCCCCACGCCGGCTTTGCTGCAGGTGCATGTCAAGTGCCAGCATTCAGGTCAGTGGCCCTCTTCCAAGATGCTCCCAAGCTGCCTGGATGAGAATCTCATCACCACCATTCATGGTTATGCAACCCTGGCTAAGTAACTTAATTAACTTGTCCCTCAGTTTCCTCGTCCATAAAATGGGAACCATCACAGTACTACCTCATAGGGTAACTGTGAGAACTAAATATGTTAGTGCACATAAAACACTTAACTTAGGACCTGGCACTGTTAAGCATTCTTAAGCATTAGCTGTGATTATCATTATTATTGCTGTATTTAAGGAGCCCTGGTAGCACAGTGGTTAAGCGCTCAGTTGCTAACTGAAAGGTCAGTGGTTCAAACCCACCAGCCACTCTGCAGGAGAAAGATGTGAAAATGCCAGTTATAAGATGTACCATTTTTAATGAACCATTAAGATGCTGCCAATTAAACTAAGGTTTCCTATCAGAATTTGTAGTTTATTCTGAGAGTTATTTTAGACTCAATTGACGTAGATTTTTATTATATCACTCACTCTTGTGTGCATACATAAAAAAGACAAAATAAGTTAAGAATCCAGCTTCTCAGAGTAACTTTGCATTCAGACTGCGGACGTGCATGTTTTTCCACAGTGTCATGTTCTATGCCATCAAGAGCACTGGTGATGGATTACACAGTAAAAGTTTGCATCAAAGAACTAAAGACTGTTGGTTTTGGTCTCTTGCACATTACGTAAAACTATCTACTTTTGATTCTTGCTTTGGGAATGTGGCTAAACATGCCTGATTCATCTCTCCCCCAAACCATTTCATTCCCATTAGTTAAAAATGTGGACCACTCCTGTCTCAGGGATTTTCTTCCAAGCCATGGACACTCATGCTCCAAGTCTTGATGCTGCCACTTTTGATGTTCATGCATGTGCAGTCATTGACAATTATACCCGGCTGCCACCTAGCCCACAGCAGTCACAAAATGCCATTGATCCCATTTCAGAGATGTTAAAATGCACTTCTTAGAATTGATGAAACATAGTATTGTCAACACTGTCATCTACAGTTGAATGAAGGGCCTCAGCAGGGGCAGATTTAGCCTGAATCTAATGCTAATGAAGTGTTAGCTTGGGGCCCCTCACTTGCATGGGGTCCTTCCAAGGCTTTGTGCCTAATTCTGTATTTGTAGTTTTGTATTATTTTTCTCAAGAGGGCCCCACACATATGACCCTCAGGCCCCACAAAACCTGGATCTGCCTCTGCACCTCCATTCTCCCTCATTCCTCTCACCTCCCCCTGCTCTTGCTTCCCCGAGTCGTTCCACCCACATTCCCTTCATTCCACCCACATTCCCTTCTGTCTCTCCCCTCCAGGGTCGCAGCCATTCAGGTGCTTGTACTGCGCAGCCACCTTCCGCTTCCCTGGGGCACTGCAGCACCATGTCACCACGGAGCACTTCAAGCAGTCGGAGAGCACCTTCCCCTGTGAGCTCTGTGGGGAGCTCTTCACCTCCCAGACCCAGCTTGACAGTCACTTGGAATCTGAACACCCAAAGGTGGTGGGCACCGAAACCCAAGCAACAGCCTCACAGGTGGTGCAGGTGATTCTGGGGCCATCCAGCACAGAGTGCTGATGCTGGGTTCCTAAGGCTTCTGTAGAGCTCGCTCTGTTACAACCCCCAGGCTTTCTCTTTGGGGCTCTTAAAGGGTCCTTTGAGTAATGCATTCATAACCAAGAGGGTCTCATAGAAGAGTCTCTCTGGACCTTTTACCAAAACAGAACAGAAAATTCTAGTCTCTTGGTGGCCACATGTAAAATGGCCCCTAGGTAGAAGGAGCCTGAAGCAAGAACTTCCAAAAGTAGAAGAACTCTGTTTTTTTCTCTCCCATTTCACACCATTTCCCACCTTCTGAGAAACACTGTGGTATGTGGTAAGAGTTGCAGGAGACCTTGGAGAAGGGTGGATGAGCTCTTAGTTGGCAAGGGGACCACCTTCAGTTGAAGCACTTTAGTAGATCCTCTGGGCTGGACATAGTGCAGCCTGGGACATGTCTGGACCTGTCACCTTTAGCTGGGTGAAAAACTCACCTCTTCTTGCTGTTTGAAGGCAAAGCTTGACCCAGGCCCTCTTTATTTCCCTGTTGTCACGCCCTTCCATCTTCTCCAGAAAGGGCGGGCAGAAAAGGAAAAGAAACTCAGTTCTGCAGTGGTCAGTAATTTGTGGTGGGCTGGAGGGGAGGTTTCAGTCAGTCGGACTGTCCCACTGTCCAGTTCCATGGGTCAGTTCTTTATAAGCTGCACTCTTCAGGCATCTGTGGGGAGGAGGGGAAGTCAGCTGGCAGGACTCCAGGTGATCCTCCTGCTGCCCTATCAACCACAGCGTCTCTGCTTTTGTCTTCCTTATGTATTAGGATTCTTGGTGAGATGTTGTTTAGGGGAGGAGGGGGAGGAAGGGGATTTCATTGCTAAAACAAAACAAAAAAAATGTTTGGAAACTTGTCCTAGATGATTTTTGATTGAACATCACACTTGATCCCTTTGCAGTCATAGTGCAAAGAGGAGCTAAGCTCTGCTTCCCCATTTCTGCCCGCTGAAGTCTAGTGCCCTGCTCTTCACTCCTGGCTAGTTCTCAGGAGCCAGGGTGGCCATGTTCTCTGGGGGCAGGAGCATCAAGCTGTCTTGGGCTCCATGGCTCAGAAGCATCGACTTGGAGGTTCAGGCAGGAGCTGGATGTGCTTAACCCCAGAATAGTTCTCGCTTAGATGGAAGGTCATCTTTAACAGATTGTGCAGATTTGGAAGGAACACATCTTGACTGTGGTAGAAAGAAGGGGTCCCTACCCTGCCAGCCTTGTGAGCCAAATGAATGTGCTGCTGGAAGTCACAGCTCATCCACCCCTTTCTTCCTCCTAAGCTTGATAGCCAGGCAGTCTCCTAGGATGGCTCCTAGTCTGACTAGCAGTCTAGAGACTCTATCCTTGGCAAGCCTAGTCTTCCGGAAAATCATTCACGTTTCCATGTACCAGAGCGTGAGACCAACCGCCTTCAGTAGCATTCCTTCCACATGGCACTTACCACTGCAGTATAATCCTCAAGACAGGAAGGCCCAACGTGAGAATCCTGAGCCATTGTTCACTGGTGTGTAATCATAGAGCCTGGGCACCCCAAGATGGCGTACTGAGCTAAATTATAGCAATTTAGTGCGCAGAGTTATTTAAATTGTTTGCCTGCCTTCTCCTTTGCATCACTGTTGTGTTAGACTTGCCTCTTCCCATTAGGCACATGTAATTGCTCTCCTCAGGTGAAAACATAAATATCATCATTACAGCATAAGATGAAAACCATGTAAATTCTGGAAAGCTAACTGTGAACACTGCGCACAGCAGCCTCATGATCTTTCCCTTTCAGGTGATCCAAACCCCAGAGCCGGCGGCCCCAGCAGAACAAGTGATAACTTTAGAGGAGACCCAGCTTGCTGGGTCCCAGGTGTTTGTGACGTTGCCAGATTCCCAGACATCTCAGACCAGCTCTGAGCTTGTGGCGGTGACTGTGGAGGATTTACTGGATGGTACCGTGACCCTGATCTGTGGTGAGGCAAAGTGAGTGGCTGCCCACCCACTGGAGGTGTCCTGGAATGCACCAGAGAGCACTCTGCAGGTTGTTCTTTGCCCTCCTTCCCGGGCTGTCCTCAGTGGTGAGCATCTTTGCCTAGCACCGACCAGAATGGCCTTACTTGGAAAATAGACAGAAGTGTCAACAGGCCTGCTGCTTTGGTCTCTGTGTCGTTGTCTTTCCCCAAATGATGTATCAAAATGTAGGCTGGAAGAGCGGTGGGATAGGAGCTCGTGACCAAGGCAGCCAGAGAGTACAGTGTGCTGGCAGCCCTCGGAGTGCAGGATGGCAGTCAAGCCTGGGACTGTGAACTGCAGCGCAGGGCTGCAAACACTGCTGGTGCCTTCTGGCCGTTTAAAAACGAGAGAAGAACCGGCAGACCCTCCAAGAACCCAGCCTTGAGCACACTTGGCCCTTCCTCACTTCTCTAATCCTCCATCTGCATGGGTTCCCACTTCATCCAGTCTCTGTGCCCAGCACCCCTGCAGTGGTGATGGGACAGGTAGCAACATGTTAACAATACAAGAAGCCCACATTTCCATGCCTAATCCCACCACGTCAGTACAGTGGACCCTTCCCAGAGCAAGGCCTTGGGAGTGTTTTTACTGGAAGTGTTTAATACGAGGCCACCCAGCTGCACGTACAGTCTTTGCCTTTCCAGGATGTTCTTCACAGTGAGGCTCGTTCCCACAGGTAAAACTGCCTGACTGGGAAGAATTGCTCCCTTCCCTTGGAGCATTTAATGTAGCTACTGACCTCGTGCCCCGACAGGTGATTCTGTCTGCCTATGGAGTAGCGGCATGATGGCCCCAAGCTCCTGCTCTGCCATGGGCTTCCCGGCCTGTGAGGGGCCTGCTGCTGTGGTTCTTGCAGGCCACAACTGTGACTGCCGGTCAGTGATCCTTGGGAGTCTGAACTTCACAAAGCCTTTTATCTTTAATTCCTAAAATATAATCTGATAATTAATGGCTTATGGGATCCATTATGAAGTGCAATTAGATGGATGTAGGCTCCTGCTATTTGAGGGAATGACTAGCATTTATCTTCCTTTCCTTGATGCCAAAAGGTTGAAGTTTGCTAGTGCGATGTTTACACACCAAGCGGGAATCCCTGTCACATTGTTGGCTTGACCAGGTGGTAGTGCCCAATTTAATCACGAACCCTTGAGCCACACACTAGCCAGAGAAAAGTCTACCCTTTCTCCCCAAGGACATCCCAAATGGCCACGTACAAGCAGGTGAGGCTTGGCTTGGGCTCTGGTCGGAGCTTTGATTGCTGCCACACAGTCAGCTTGCACACTGCTGTCAGAGGAGGCAGTGGAGCCTGACACTGAGCAGGCTGCTTGCCGGCGGCCACCACTTCTGTGCAGGCAGCCCTGGACCCAGCAACCTCAGCGAGGTCCTCAGGCCAGCGAGCCTCAGCCAGCTGCTCCTGCCTCCAGTGGTGACCTCATTCTGATATGCAAATAGCTTAAGCCTGTCAGCACTGGGATCTTCCCATTCCAAAGCAAATGAAATTTTCTAGGGAGAATCAGCCTCAAAAGCTGAAAACTGACCAGAAGATGGTGCTCAAACCTTTAGGACTTTGCCTCCACATGAAGACCTCACCGGTTCTGCCTAGGCTGTCTCTGTCTTCTTCAGGTTTTTTCAGTCTTGTGAGCTGTCAGACCAGGAGAGCTCTTGATCGGCAAGTGACAAAAGGGGACTGAATCTCCTTTTGGCACCAAATAAAACCTACTAAAAGACAGTGAAGCAGCACATGCTTAAAGCGCCTTCATGCCAAGCCCAGCAGATAAGAACACCGGTACGCATAAGCCATAGGACAGTAGCTGGGAACTGCAGTGAGTGTCACTAAAACGTCTTCCACCCAAAATAAATAAATAAAAATTAATTGCTGAGGGGCTGTAAGGGAAAGTGATTTTTAAAAGCCTTCTGAATGAAGAAAGCTGTACATTTTAAACCAAAGTTTCAGATCTCAAGCAAGGAGAAACCCTTTTCAGGTTTCTGAGAGAGACCCAGACTGTGGAAGGACACTTGTTTTCTTCAGAATTTGCAGGCTTGGCAGTTTGCTGTGCAGAGAGCGAATGGGAAAGCTGGGCTTGCTGCTGGGACAGTCCCAGTAGGAAGCACAAACCCAGGGCTGGTTTGCTGGTTGTCGGCAACAGTGAGGTAGGGTCCATCCTGAATTTAATCTGTGCTCTGAATGAGCCTCTTGAAGCAGCTACATTTGCTGACTGTGATTTTGCAATGTTTGCTCCCCAGAGAAGCCCAAGAATGAATTTTGTTATAGGAAGACTTTTTCCAACTCTACTTGGCCCTTTTATTCTTTTCTCCCATTTCTGCTCATGAGACTTTCTGAATTGCTGCCACCAAGGGCACTGTTAACGTTATTCCACCTCATTTGCTTTCACTGTGGCAGTGGTGTTCTGTTTGCCTCATTCCCACAAGGTACTGTCCTCGTGGCCTCTGGGCTGAACATGGATGTTTGCTGTGGTATGGAGGAGTCTGTGGGCTTCTGGGGGAACCTGTAGATTTGATTCACTGGAACACGAAACCTCTGCTCCCATAGCTCATCAACCAGCTGGTGAGGAGGGAAAGGCAGTCAGATTCCAAGCCGGAGTCTAACTCCAGGGGGAATGATGGGATCAATTATGGAACAGGATTTACCTATCACAGGTAAGTGAGATCGTACACAAATGGTTCAAGAGCAAGGATTAGCACAGGAAGATGAGACTCCTACTGTCTCAGTCCATGAGCAGGACCTGAGACCAGAGGGGCCTCAAGGAGGCCGAGACAAAGGGCTTTATTCATTTATTTAAAAAAGCCTGTCTCCTGTGTCTCAGAAGCTCTATGTTTGGAAAATTTTGAGCCCAGCAAGTCTGCAGTGTGAACACTGGGTTCCTGAGATGATCAGGTCTCTCTGAGGAAGCTTGCTGGCTTGCCGTACCACCTTCCCCCTGACCCGGGAAAGTGCCACGCACCCGCATCTCAGAGAAGAGCTCTGGTAGTCAGGGGCTGAGGGCTGAAATGGGGTCGGGGCAGACAGATGGCAAATGGGGAGGCAAAGCGTGTCCTCTCCACATGGTCTAAATCAGGTATAATCCCAGGAGCAAGGAGGAAGATAAGATGGGGCTGTTGATGTTGTCTTCACCACAAGCTGAGGACATGCTAATGGGAGTGGAGGGGTATGCCTTTGAATTTAGTCTTTAGCAACTATTTTTCTGAGAGCCATGGACTGGCTAAGGAATGGAGGGAACAGCTAGCCTTACACACGGTAGACGGATGGTTCTAGGGAGAAAGGCAGTGTTTCTATCGGATTGAGGCTGGAAAGTTGAACAGTGACTTTAATCAACCCTCCCAAAGGAAGAATTCGGCAGTCCCAGCCCTTGTGTGCTTGGCTCAGTACATCCCAAGGATACATGGGAAGAAGATAGAAAATGGGAATAAAAAAAAAACTGGGGTTTGAAGGGCGTGTTGGAAGAAGTTGGTAATTGTTTTGTTGCCATGGAAAACTTTGGAGGATGGTAGGACTTGGGCCAAAAGGTCAGAAGCACAGACGGAACCCAGAAAGTGGGTATACCTACGACTTGACCTATAAGGGAGAGAAAAGCTGTCTGTACTTTGGGGAATACATTGTTGAGAAAAAAACATTCCCCAGGCTAATCTAAATCACTTCCGAATTGTGAAGATGTTGTTTCCTTTACCAAGGCCAGCCGCACCTGCTGCCACCTGGGGTCAGGACAGCTAGCCCGTGCGGGATGCTGTATAAATTTTATTACAAACCATTATTCATGTTCAACTTGTACTAATCTGTGTAAATAAAATATGCTCTTTGAAAAAAATTATGCTATGTAAGTTTCAAATGGACTGTGATATTATAGACCTGTTTTGTCTTTGGTCTGGGCAGCTGTCAGGTTGAAAGGCCTGGTTTCCTAGGGGCTATTGTGTGCTTCAGGCCGTGTACGCATCGGGGAGGGGATGGTTTCCTGCCACGTGGAGTCTCATGTCCCAAACCGTCTTTCCCAGGGAGCAGTGGAGGGTAGTGTTTAAGAGCACAGGCTTTGGAGTCTGGCCTGGGTACGTCCCAGCTATGGCACTCTTAACTGTAACCTTGAGTGAGGTACTTACTCTCTCTGAGCTGCCTCTTCCCAGCTCCCATCTATACAACAGGGAGAATTATTGTACTTAGCCATAAAATTGTAGTACGAATTAACGGCCTGGGTTTGGTGCATTTAGTGTAGAAAATTTTAGCTGTTGTGAATAAAGTCCTTCAGGTACAGATCAGCCATTCCCTGCATTTCCGGCACTAGGTAAAGTGTTCATTCCTGCACCTTTATGTGTCTCTGTTACATGTCTTTATATGTTTTCTTCCTCTCCTGTCTCTAGATCCTTGGGGATCCCTATAACACCTACCCCTTTTCATTTATCTGTTGAATCTCAGCTGCTCCCAGAGCACAAAGTGCTGAACAGATAACTCATAAAATAAGCAGAAACCTTTCCCAGCGAACAGCTGAAAATGTCAGAATGCTGGGAGCCGACAAGGGAGCTAGAAAGGGAGACACGCAGATAGCACATACATCATTTCTACAGTAAGAACTCAGCAGGTAAGGCAAGGGGAGGCAGGTCACATCATGTAGCCTTCGAAGCTGAGGTCAGCCCTGCGGCTGGGGGCTGGGGCTGGGGCAGGAGCTCTGTGGTCACTTCTCCCGGGACAGAGAGTTGGCCCTTGTCTAGAGCCCATAAGGGCCTTTAGGAAGGAATGCCTCTGTGCCTATGAGGTGTCTTTGGAGAGAGGCTGGAGCTGTCTGTGTCCTATTTGGGCAACTATCCTGAGAGTGACCCAGGCAGCCTCAAGGCAAAATTGTTACAGAGGTCGGGCTCCAGCCATGAACGTGAGTGTGTACAGAGGGGAGGGACTGCTGCATGTAGGTCAGACACGACTGGGCCGAGGTGATTCCTGGGTGATCCCATCATCTTAGGCCTGGGCCAGAGCCAGTGGAGGGTGACTCGCTACAAGAGGCCATGCAGCATGTGGAAAGGGCATGGCCCTGTCACCTTCCCCGTGTGACCTTGGGTGAGTTGTTACTAACTGCTGATGGTGAGGGTAAATGTTATCATTTGTAAAATGCCTGACAGAGTATAAATGCTTTGTTAATGTTTATAATACTTAAAAAGTCCTGGGGAAAGAGGGCAGAGAAGGGCAGGAAAGGAGGATGCCTGATGTATCCTAAGGTAGAGGGCCTGGAGCCCAGTGCTGGGGTGCCCAAGGCCAAGGTAAGACTTTGCTTCCTGGGCCACACTAAAGAACCCAGAGGGTCTGTCACAGACCAGAGTGAGTGGTACTCAGAGGGAGGCTGGACATCCCAGGGCTGGAGCGGGGGCTCTCACAGCCTGTTGGCACTGCAACTGAGGGGTCACATTGGAATGAAGGCCCGGACCTCTGAATGCCAAGTGGAACACACCCAGTGAGAGCAGAGGAAATGGAAAAAATGACTGTGTAAGGATTTCTGGCCTTCCCTCCTTACCTCTTTAGCACTTTTATTCATTGTTTTATATTACCCTCTGTGAGCTTGCGCTCAGGGATGTGTTCCGAGTGAAGAAAGAAGTGGCCTATGGCTCCATGTGGGCTTTTCTTAGGACCGGGGCCTTCACTCTTCCTTGGAAATATCCCAGGACTCACGGTGTCATTGAGAAGATAGGGTCTAGGACATGAGCATAGGACCAAGCTCGTTTTCTTCTTGTGAATATTCTTCAGGCTTTTTCTCATGCATCTGTTCTGTCTTCTGTCCTGTCACCTAGAGCATAAGTCCATGTCTACCAAGACATTCGTGGTAGTCATTGAGTTGGCCCCTGATCCTGGTGACCCCATGCACAGTGGAACAAAATGCTGCTCTGTCCTGTGGCTGTAGATCAGACCGTTGTGATCCATAGAGTTTTCATTGGCTGATTTCCAGAAGTACATCACCAGGCCTTTGTTCCTTGTGTGTCTTAGTCTGGAAGCTCTTCTGAAACCTGTTCTGCATTGTAGCGAATGCATGCCTCTACTGAAAGAGAGGTGGTGGCTGCGCTCGAGGTGCATTGGCCGGGAGTTGAACCTGGGTATCTCTCGTGGAAAGCAAAAATTCTACCACTCAACCACCAATGTCCCACAGAAGTTGGAGGTTGGAATCCACCCAGAGGTACCTGGAAAGATAGGCCTGGTGATCTACTTCCAAAATATCAGCCATTGGAAACCCTCGGGAGCACAGTTCTATTCTGGCACACATGGGCTTACCCTGAGTTGGAGGTGACTCGATGACAACTGGTTAAGACATTTGTGTCTCCTCCAAATACCTAGTACCGGACAGTGCTCCCAGTGGATGCTTGGTGGGTGTCACCTGCTGCCGGAGGAAGAGGACACTGGCCTCCCCTCTAGTATGCCAGGATTCTATTTTGAGGGTAAGGAGAGGAGATGCTTCCTTATTCTGCAGCTCTGCACCACGTATTCTGTCTAAGCTGCTTTCAACCAGTGGTGGAATATACCATTCAGTCTGCTCTCCAGCCACCTCATGTCTGCAGCCTGGTGGGCCGGAGTCGGCACTTGGCCCGCAGTGTATGTGCTGCTGGAATGCTAAGCTCCATTGTGGGGAAGGAGCTTCCAGGCATTCCCTACCTGTACCTGAATCTGCATTCTGAGCTTTCCCAAACCCCTCCACTACCCAGCGATTTCCTGAGGAAGCAGTCCTACATTTTGTTTCTTAATTCTGTTGCAGCTGCATCTTGTGTTGGATTCTAAACAGCTGGGGACAGGGGCCGTGTCTGACTGCCTAGGTTTCTCTGAGTTTGGAGATTCTTGGGCGCAGAGGCTCGGTCATCCTTCTCTCTACTCAGAGCCCAACTTCCACATGTCTGTCACTCCCAGCAGTGAGGCTGTTCCCCCAGGTTACTGGTGGCCTGGTCTATCTGAACATACTCCTTTCTTTGTCCTTCAAGAAGAGATTAGCAGAAGACTAGGAGCAGCAAGCTGGGTTCCGAACTCCCCAGCTGCTCTGATCAAACACAGTTCTGCTGGCGCTTCGTGCACTGGCTCCCCCAGCGCAGGCCAGAAACAGCTGATCAAACACATCAGCACAAGGTCAGTCCAGGACCGAAGTGCCCCTCCAGGGGAGATCCATAGACCCACCGTCAGGAAGGCCTGATAAAATGGGCTAGAGACAGGGAGGGCCCATGGGGCTGGCCTGGGACTGCACAGCTTTTCGTTCCATTGAAGGTTGAAACCTCTGCTCCACCCAGGATCCAGACCAAAACTAACATGTCCGAAGGGGCCAGGCCAGAGCTGCCACTGAGCACAGGGAATGAAGCTAAGTGAGGAGCGAGGGTAGCTGTGTGTGCGTGTATGAATGTGTGGGGTGAAAGATGTCAAGTAAGAGTAAAGGTGGGTTTGGGGGCATGTGATTATTAGATTGTCACAGGATGACTTAAGATCCTCCCTCGCTCAACTGTGACCCCTTCAAGGGCAAGGACTGTGTGTGATCCTTTTTTTTATCTGCTTCCCCACCCCCCCACCGACCCACCCCCGGCCATGGCAGTTAGCAGAGACCCGAGCACACGTTTGTTGAACAGAAGCAGCGATGTCTGCACAGGTCTGTTCTAGCCTTCAAGTTCTGGAAGTTTCTGAGGTCCCGTTATGCCTCTGGACCTGTTATGCCTCTAGTCCCATGCCAGATGCTGTGGAGGGTGGGAGCAGATCAAGCAAAATGGTGCTCGGTCCCTCTCCTAGGGAACTTACAGCCTGGTTGGCAAGGGCTGCATATGAGACACGAGCGCCCAAAGCACCTACGCCGGTCTAGACTCACGACCAAAAGCTCGTCGTACCGACAAATGCTGCAGGGTTTTTGTCTTTTTTATGGCAGGAGGGAGGAATTAATGTTTTTTTAGAAATATTCTTATAATTACTGCAAAGTGCTTAACACATGTTGAACACTGGACTAAGGGTTGTGTGTAACTCATTTCATAAAATCATAGCACTATGACATGAGTGCCTTTAGTGTCCCTGAGGAGTTAAGTCCCTTGCCGTAGTTACACAGCCAGTTAGCCGCACAGCTGGGACCTGACCCCAGAGCTTGGTCTTAAGCACCATGTTATATTAAAGGACTTTTTGCTTAGTATCTACCTTGCTGTTGAGTCAATTCCAACTCATAGCGACCCTATAGGACAGAGTAGAACTGCCCCATAGGGTTTCCAAGGCTGTATGTACTCTTTATGGAAGCAGACTGACAGATCTTTCTCCTGCTAAGCGGCTGGTGGGTTTGAACCACTGACCTTTTGGTTAGCAGCTGAGCGCTTAACCACTGCACCACCAGGGCTCCTGCTTAATATCTAGTCAGCCAAAAAATATCCGAACTTCCCATTCCGTGAGGATTCCTAGTTTGTCATACCTGGACTGTTGTCATTGCTCCTATCAAGTCTCCCTACT